TGGTGGCTCACACCTGTAATCCTAGCTACTCAGGAGGCTGAGATCTGAGGATCACAGTTCAAAGCCAGCCCAGGCAGGAAAGTCTGTGAGACTCTTCTCTCCAATAAACTACTCAAAAAAAGCCAGATGTGGTGCTGTGGTAGAGGGCTAGCCTTGAGCACAAAGAGGTTCAGAGACAGGGCTCAGGCCCTGAGTTCAAGCCCCAGGACCCACAAAAAACACAACAACCACTCCCCCCTCCCAAAAACAAATAAACAAACAAGGAGGAGCATGAAGGCCTCTGATACCAAGCTGTGAAACCTGAAAGGGTTAAAGGGCGTGGAGTACCAGCTGGAAGCGCCCGCAGAATGCCGAGGTCCACATCCAAGTAAAGTCCAATGGTTGAGGCTGACAGAGGTAAACCTTGCTACCCTAAGTGTGTTTAAATTAGAGCTGCTTGGACATGAAAAGCTTAAGGCCTTGGAGATAAGATGGATGTTTGCTATGTTCTTGCCATGTTTAGTTCTATATATATGAATTAGACCCCATATGAATGGTTGTAGCCACGAGAGATTGATACCCTACTCTCTGCACTTATCTGCCGTCACTCCTCCTCCTGTACTGAACTCAATAAAAACTTGTAAATGGGATGTTGGGATCTGATAGCACGAATAGCATCAGGTCCCCTGGTCCCCCAAAACCTCAGATCCCTGGCCTGGTTTCAGTTACTGTCTTGTCCCCAATCCCAGTGGTTAGTGAAGGAGAGGGCAGCTTCAATCCAGGTGTCAGAAGGCCTCTGACCCTGCCTAGTTTTTTTTTTTTTTTGGGGGGGGGGTCCAGTCGTGGGCCCTGAACTCTGGGCCTGGGCACTGTCTCTCAGCTCTTCAGCTCAAGGCTATAGCGCTCTACCACTGAGCCACCTTCCCAGCCCCCCTGCCTAGTTCTTGATGAGCCCTTCCTGCCCCAGGGAAGAACAGAGTAAGAATCTTGAGTTTAATGGTAAGAATCCTAAGCTTAATGGTAAGAGTCTTCCTCTCAGGAGGCTGAGGTCTGAGGATCACAAATCGAAGCCAGCCCAGCAGGAAAGTCTGTGAGACTCTTTTTTTTTTTTTTGGGTAGGTTGTGGGGCTTGAACTCTGGACCTGAGTGCTGTCCCTCAGCTCTTCAGCTCAAGGAGAGTGTTTTACCACTTGAGCCAAATCGCCACTTTTCTGGGAGTTAATTAGAGATAAGAGTCTCATGGACTTTCCTACCCAGGCTGGCTTTGAACTGTGATCCTCAGATCTCAACCTCCTGAGTAGCTAGGATTACAGATGTGAACCACCAACATCTAGCTTTCTGTAAGACTTTTATCTCCAATGAACCACCAGAAAACCAGAAGTGGTGCTGTGGCTGGAGTGGTAGAGTGCTCACTTTGAGCTGAAGAGCTGAGGAAGGGCTGGGAAGGTGGATCAGTGGTAGAGCGCTTGCCTTGCATGCATGAGGCCCTGGGTTCAATTCCTCAGCACCACATAAGCAGAAAAAGCCGAAGTGGCGCTGTGGCTCAAGTGGTAGAGTGCTAGCCTTGAACTGCAGAGCTGAGGACAGCACTCAGGCTCAGAGCTCAGGCCCCATGACCGGCAAAAAAAAGAAAAGAAAAAAAGCTGAGGGACGGCATGCAGGCCCAGAGTTCAAGCCCGACCATGGACAGGAAGAAAAAAAAGAGTAAGCCTGAACTTAAGCCCCTGCTCTGAGCTACATTGTTACAGCATTGCTGGGAACCTTAAACATTGTATCCACAGTACATTTATAGCAAAATTAGACCAGCTCAGGACTTCTCTGTAATTTTTTTTTCTTTTGCCTATCCTGGGGCTTGAACTCAGGGCCTGGGTTCTGAGCTGCTCTGTGCTCAAGGCTAGCGCTCTTCCACTAGAGGCACAGTACCACTTCTGGCCTTTTTTGTTTATGTGTTGCTGAGGAATCAAACCTAGGGCTTAATGCAAGTGAGGCCAGCTCTCTACCAAAAAGCCACATTTCCAGCCATCTTCCCCCCCCCCCCTTTTAGCCAGTTATGTGGCTTGAACTCAGGGCCTAAGCACTGTCCCTGAGCTCTTTTGCTCAAGGCTAGAGCTCTACCACTTTATTTTTTTATTTTATTTTTTTTTTGGGTCCGGTCATGGAGCCTGAACTCTGGGCCTGGGTGCTGTCCCTCAGCTCTTCAGCTCAAGGCTAGCGCTCTACCACTTGAGCCAC